CATGCCAATAAATTTGACAGCTTATTTAAAACAGATTCCTGAAAAGACACAATTTACCAAACTCACGCGCGCAAATCTCAATAAGCTTAACCCTTGCACTCGAATGTTGAGCGATTTTTCGTGACTCAATACGGTCAGCAAAAATTATAGAGATTAAAATTCCTCTTTGAATGTATCGATAATTTGAAACATTAAAAAAATCCAAATAAACAAGTTTGTACGAAAAGAAACTCCAGTTTTTTATGCTACTGCCGCGCTTTGTAAAATCTGGGGCATTAAAAGAATTAAATCCCGAGTAGAATGAAGGACTCGAGGAGAAAGCAAGCGAGCGCAAAGGGTTAAGATACGGGTTGAATTGTTTCCCTTCAAAGTTCGCATGCCTTTGGTGCATACAAGCTCTAAAGTGTAAAAAAGAAAGACAAAAAAGAAAAAGCGAATAATAAAAATAATAATGAAAAAAATAAACACAAAATCCACATGTTGAAATCCTAACCCCACGGCCAGGCGCGGTGGCTCCTGCTTGTAATTCCAGCACTCTGGGAGGCCGAGGCGGGAGGATTGCTCGAGGTCAAGAGCTCGAGACCAGCCTGAGCAAGAGCGAGACCCCGTCTCTACTAAAAATAGAAATTAGCTATATATAAAAAATGAACCAGGCGTGGTGGCTCACGCCTGTCGTCCCAGCTACTGAGGAGGCTCGCTCGAGGTCAGGAGTTCGAGGCCAGCCTGAGCAAGAGCGAGACCCCCGTCTCTACTAAAAAAATAGAAAGAAATTAGCTGGACAACTAAAAAAATATATATATATAAAAAATGAGCTGGGCGTGGTGGCGCACGCCTGTCGCCCCAGTTACTCGGGAGGCCGAGGCGGGAGGCTCGCTCCAGGTCAGGGGTTTGAGGCCAGCCTGAGCAAGCGCGAGACCCCGTCTCTACTAAAAAAAAAAGAAAGAAAGAAATGAGCTGGGCAACTAAAAAATACATATACATATAAAATGAACCAGGCGTGGAGACTCACGCCTGTCGTCCCAGCTACTCGGGAGGGAGGCCAAGGAGGGAGGCTCGCTTAAGGTCAGGGGTTAGAGGCCAGCCCGTGCAAGAGCGAGACCCCCGTCTCTACTAAAAATAGGAAGAAATTAGCTATATATAGAAAATGAACCAGGCATGGCGGCTCACGGCTGCCGTCCCAGCTACTCGGGAGGGAGGCCGAGGCGGGAGGGCCGCTCCTCGAGGTCAGGAGTTCGAGGCCAGCCTGAGCGAGATCGAGACCCCCCCGCTCTTGCTCCTGGCGCCGTTTTTTCCATAAGCCCCATCTCTGCTAATTTGCGGGCGTTTTCCATCGCTTAACGCTGAAACAGACAGACAGACAGACAAAGAACAGAGCTCACCGTGTTGTACACGCCGCTGATGGTTTCCGGCCCCTCCGTGGACTTAGCCACCACTTTCAGCTTTCCTGGCGCCCCTTTCTCCAGCTGCTGGATCTAACAAAGACAAACAGCGTAAGGACTGCGTGTAAAGGCGACAGAGAACACAGGGACCGGAGCGCCCGTGCACACGCGTGTGCGCTTCTATCTGCACGGGGAGGGCGGGCGGCGTCCACGCGAGCGGCGAGTTTAAGGTGTCCGGCCTGGCCAGAGACAGGGAAAAGCGAGACACATTCTGCGGGTGGAGACGGGCTGGCGCGGGCGTGGGGATCACAGAAGGAAGCCCTGAAAAGGAGAAACGGAGGGACGCTGCCGGGCGTTGGCTTAGCGACTTCGCAAACCGCGGTGCCAGGGAAGGTCAGCAGGGGACGAGAGTGGGCCCCGGGATCTGGGGGGGGGGGGCTCAGACGCTTTTAAACAGGGGGGGCCACCATCCCTCAGGCCGTGGGAGAGAGGGGCGCACGCTCCACACATGCGCACCGTGGCCCGGGACGAGCCGGCCGTACAGCGGGACAGGCAGCGGCCGTACAGAGGGACAGGCAGCAACCGGCCGTACAGAGGGACAGGCAGCGGCCGTACAGAGGGACAGGCAGCG